TAATGATGTAGAACCTCCCACCATCCAGCACGGGGGCCCACCTCTGCACTAGGCTCTGTTGCTATGGTGAGCTGCACATCTGGAGGCTTAACAGAGACACTGGGCATATCTGAATGCTGAGTCTGATGGTGACCAGGAGGTGAAACTGTGACTTCATGATGTTCTGGAGGCTGAGCTGGGGTCTCCTGCAGGGCTGGAGAAGATTCAACCTCCCCAGAAGACTCAGAAGGCTGAGCTGGCTGCTCCTGCTCACTGGGGGAAAGTTCAGGCTCCACAGGAGGACCTGGAGGCTCAGTTGGGGGCTCCTGTTGGGTTGCAGAAGGTTCCACCTCCTCTGGAGGCTGACCTGGGGACTCCTGCTGGACTTCAGAAGATTCTGTCTCGTTTTCAGCCTCTGGAGTCATAGGAACCTCCACATCTGCAGGTTTAATTGTAATGCTAGGCAAGTTATAATGAGCTTGATCCTCACCTGGAGGCTGAACTGTCACCTCACGATTCGGTAGAGTTAGACTTTCCATAGAGGATGCTGGAGGCAGAGCTGGGGCCACCTGCTGGGTGGAAGAAGGTTCTTCCTCCTCAGGGAGCTGTGGAAGCTGCCCTGGGGCTTCTTGCTGGAGTAAAGAGGATTGGATGTGTTCAAGGGTCTCTGGATTTTGAGTTTCCGGCTCTAGATGGAATTGAGAAAGTCCAACTCGCTCAGGGGGCCCTGGAGGCTCATCTGAGTTCACCCGGAGTTCTGGAGGCAGGCCGCCGGGATACAGTGTGTCCATACTCGAATATTCATCCTGCAAAGTCTGTTTCTCACGCAGAGGTTTGGATAATCGGTGTGGAATTCCAACAATCTCAGCAAGGCTCCAACGCTCAGCTAGATCTTTCTTCAGGTTCTTGGGCGAAACAATAAATGTGGTTGGTTTTGAAATCTTACTGTCTAGCGGAACAAGTATTTCATCTGCCTGATGACCTGCAGCCTGATCTAGATCTACAGTTGGAACCTTACTTTTGAGGCGAGGAAGCTGAACTAGGGTCTGATTCTGATCCCCGTCCAGCAGTGGGACCACCTCTGGGAGCCTTTCTTCCGGAGTCAGCTTGTCATTTAAATCCTGGTGTGCAGCGGAGAACTGCTCTGGCCCCAGGGGCAGCTCTTCAGCTGAATCCGTGTCCAGGAATGGAACCAAATTTTCAGTCGATTCCTGGGGCAGGGCTGACATCTGCGAGGAAGCAGAGGGCCCCAGGTAATCAAAGTCCCCCGGGTCTGCCGGGGGAGTGGGCGCATGGGGAGATTCCCATGGGAGATGGGAGGAGCGGGAAGACCGGGGCTTAGGCGGTCCCAGGGGGTTAGAGGTCAGCTGGAGTGGGTCCTTGACCCACTCCAGAGGCTGAGTCTCCTTGACTAGTAGACACAATAGTTGCCATGTGAGGAGGGGCCATGGGCCCCAGAAACGCAGCCAGAACATGACACACATGAGTGCTGCGCACTGAGCGGGAGTCATTCTGGCAACCCTAAGATGCTCGTGCCTCTTATAAGCATGTGCCCCGCCCTGTCTTTATGACACCTTTATTTATGCCACCTTTATTAGGCTTGGGTCCAGATCTGCTCCATGTCACCAGGGCAATCTTATGTCACAATCCCGCCCTAACACCCCTTCCCACCCCGCCCGGCTGGAACACCCCTTTCCCTCCCCTTAGGGAGGAAGGATTTGGGCCACAGACCCAGGTGGTCCCAGGACTCCAGCAGCCTGCTGTGGTGTGGTGGGGTGGGGTCATGGGACCTCGCCTTGGGATCTTCAGAAGTGCTAGTCCAGTTGTGGCAGCCTGAACTCTTCCTCCTCCAAGGCGAAATCCAAGCATACTCTTCCTTTCAGGGACAGCAACTGAGCTGCAAAATGGGCGCCAGTTAGGGTGGCAGGCACGACGCACATTACAGTCATTTATTCCAAAATGTTGCCGTTTTCGCTAAACTGTTGCATGTTTGATAATGAATTCACCACCCTACTAGGTAGGGGCTGCCAGGGAATAAGCGAGGACTCCACATTTTCTGTAGGAGGGGTGTGGGGGGTGGACAATTCAGTCTGGGAAAGAAGGCTTTAATCCGAGTGAAGAGCCCTTTGCACTAGCAGGGAGGAGGCTGAACTGTCATCCTGCCTTGACTCAACACAGCCATTACCCTAGAAGTTACAGCACCACCCTTCAGAGATCTACCCTGTGTGCACACATGGAGAAGAGGCTTAGGCTGTTAAAGTCAACATGTTAAATAATTTCCTGAAATGCGACTGTAATTAGAACACAGCTGACTTCCCCCACAGCCATTCTTACCTATTACTGTCTGGCACAATTATCAGCATGTAAACTCCAAGAAGGTGCTTCATCTTATTCCAGTACCTAGCAGAGGCACAGGGTGCACAGTGATGGTTTTAAACTTGAAGGGGGGCTGTGCACAGTGGCTCACATCCATAATGCCAGAACTTTGGGAGGCCGAGGTGGGCAGATCACTGAGGTCAGAAGTTCCAGACCAGCCTGATCAACATGCTGAAATCCCGTCTCTACTAATAGCTGGGCGTGGTGGTGCATGCCTGTAATCCCAGCTACTCGGGAGGTTGAAGCAGGAGAATCACTTGAACCTGGGAGGCAGAGGTTGCACTGAGCCTAGATTGCAACATTGCACTTCAGCCTGGGCAATGAGAAACCTCCGTCTCAATAAAATAAAATAAAATAAAACTGAAGGGATTCCAAGATTCACCTCATTTAGGAATGGATCTATTGTTATAATCAGATTTCTGAAATCAGTGCTGACTTCCTCTCACAATTCACAGGAACCTAGACTTCTTAAAGCTTGAAGTTTACTGGATGCGTTTTATTTAAATTGAGTTAAAATAATTATTTTACAGGGAAGAACTTCAAAACACGTTGCAACTTTGGGGTGAAAGTTAAATAAAATACTCTAGCCCCAAAATAAGTTCCCACTGAAATGAAACTTTTGCTCCTTTTTTAAAAAAAATTCCATAAATAGTAAATAATGACTGTTTTCTTTTGAGATTAATTTAGAAACTTAATCCCTATTTAAGAGCTTTCATATGCAGTCATGCGTTGCTTGCCATGTGAGGAGCTTGAGAAAGGTGTCATTAGGTGATTTCACCATTGTGCTAACATCATGGCGTATACTTCTACAAACCTAGGTGGTGTAACCCACAGCACACCTAGGCTATGTGGTACGGCCTACGACTCCTAGGCTACAAACCTGTACTGTATGTTACTGTACTGAATATTAAAGGCAACTGTCACAGAATGGCAGGTATTTGTGTATGTAAACATGGAAAAGGTATAGTTAAAATACTGTATAAAAGATAAAAATGGGGCCCAGGCACAGTGGCTCATGCCTGTAATCCCAGCACTTTGGGATGCGGAGGTGGGTGGATCACCTGAGGTCAGGAGTTCGAGACCAGCCTGGCCAACATGGCAAAAACCAGTCTCTACTAAAAATATAAAAATTAGCTGAGTATGGTGGCGCATGCCTATAATGCATCCCGCTACTCGGGAGGCTGAGGTAGGAGAATCACTTGAACCCAGGAGGTAGAAGTTACAGTGAGCTGAGATCACACCATCGCACTCCAGCCTGGGCAACAGAGTGAGACTCCATCTCAACAACAACAACAACAAAAAGATAAAAATGGTATGCCTGTATAGGGATAGCTCCATTATACTCCTATGCAACCACCATCATATATGTGGTCTACTGTTGACCAAAACTTCATTTTGCAGCACATGATTGTAAATGATTGACAGAAAGATCTTCAGCAAAATAGTCTACCCAAGGTATATGGAAGATATTGAGATCCAAGTAATAAGTCATATTTGAAAGGCATTACAGTTTTCGAAAGCTGTAGCACAATCAGTCTTAAGGCCACTTACATTCTCCCCACATCTCTGGGATCCTGTTTGAAGGGAGTTCTAAAAAGGCCTGTGTTCAAGCAGCCCAGCTTCCCTTACTCCTGGGGCCGGGGGAGACTAACCCCTCTCCTGTGTCCACAGCTGTAGTAACACAGTCCTCAGTTCTGTCTCCAAACTCCAAATAAGGGGAAAGAGCCAAAGGTCAAGACTTTAGGAAAAGCCCCAGAAATACCCTGCACTCAAAAAGCAGTTTCGGAGTTTCACATTTTCCTGAGAATGAAGCAAATTATCCTCCAAATTCTGCTGCTTATTTTGAATTATGGTTATACTGCATATGTTATCTGACCCTTGAGGTTTTTTTTGTTTTTCTGAGATGGGAGTTTCGCTCTTGTTTCCCAGGCTGGAGTGCAATGGAGCGATCTTGGCTCACCACAACCTCCACCTCCCAGGTTCAACCGATTCTCCTGCCTCAGCCTCCCAAGTAGCGGGATGCATGCACCACCGTTTCCCCATGTTGGTCAGGCTGGTCTTGAGCTCCCAACCTCAGGTGATCCGCC